ATAGGCATCATGCTTGGTTATGACGAATTTTTTCCAATTCGAAAAACATATGCAACTGACAGTGGCCCATACGCTGTAGCTCTTGGTGATTTTAATAACGACACCCAACTAGATATCGTCGCCGCTAATAAGGAGAACAATACCATAAGTATTCTTCTTGGATATAGAAATGGTTCTTTTGCAAACCAAATGACATATTCAACTGGCTCTTGGCCATACTCTCTAGCTGTTGGTGATTTTAACAACGACAACCATCTGGATATCGTCGTCGCTAATTTTAATGATGGCACTGTGAGTATCCTTCTTGGATATGGGAATGGTAATTATGCAAATCAAACAACATATTCAACTGGCTCTGCCCCACTGTCTGTAGCTGTTGGCGATTTTAACAACGACAATCATCTGGATATTGTCGTCGCTAATGCGAAGGACGACACTGTTAGTCTCCTTCTAGGATGTGGAAATGGCTCTTTTGCAAATCAAACAACATATTCAACTGGACGTTATCCTTTATCTGTAGCTGTTGGTGATTTTGACGGCGACACCTATGTGGATATCGTGATCGCTAATTTTCTTAACAATACTGTTAGTCTACTTCTTAGATATGGAAATGGCTCTTTTGCTGATCAGACAACATATTCAGCTGGCTCTGCCCCACGAGCTGTAGTTGTTGGTGATTTTAACAACGATACCAATCTGGATATTGTTGTCGCTAATGAGAATGACAATACTGTAAGTGTCCTTCTCGGATATGGAAATGGCTCTTTTGCAAACCAGACCACATACTCGACTGACTTTAAACCATTGTCTGTAGCTGTTGGTGACTTTAACAACGACACCCAACTGGATATCGTCGTTGCTAATTTTGGTGGAAACACTGTAAGTGTACTTCTCGGATATGGTGATGGATCTTTTGCAAATCAAATGACATATTCAACTGGCTCGACCCCACAAGCTGTAGCTGTTGGTGATTTTAATAACGACACTCGACCGGATATTGTCGTGGCTAATTTTAATGGCAACACTGTAAGTGTACTACTTCGGTATGACAGAGGAGCTCTGGAAGATAAAATCACATTTGCGCCTGCCGATGGTTCTCGTTTGCAAAGTTTTGCTCTTTTTGATTTTAATAACGATAGTCTATTGGATATCGCTATTGTCAATTACGGTACTAATAACATAGGTGTCCTTCTTGGGTATGAGAATGGCACTTTTGGAAACCAAATAGTACTTTCAACAGGCTTAAATTCTCATCCTTACTACATCACTATCCATGATTTCAATAAAGATGGTCAAGCAGATATAGCCGTGGCCAATTACGGTACTGAAAATCTTGTTACATTTCTCGGAAATGGGAATGGAACATTTGAAAATCAAGCAAGTTATAATGTAGATTTCGATTTCGCTCCACTGATTATTGGTGCCAGTAGTTTTAACAAAGATGGACGCTCAGAAATTTTCGTTGCATATGAGGGCATCGATTATGTAGACGTGCTTGTTACATACGACATTGGAACTTTCAGTGATCACATTAAATATTCAACTCGGAGCGGGCCCAGATCTGTAGCTCTTGGCGATTTTAATAACGACAACCAACTAGATATTGTCATCGCTCATCAACTATCCAACACTGTAAGCGTATTTCTCGGATATGGAAATGGCTCTTTTGCAAATCAGGCAACATCTCCAACTAGCTCTTACGCATGGTCTGTAGCTGTTGGAGATTTTAACAACGACAACCATCTGGATATCGTTGTCGCTAACGCGTATGACAACACTATAAGTGTACTTCTCGGGCATGGAAGTGACTCTTTTGTAAATAAAACGACATACTCAACTGGCTTGAGTCCACTATATGTAGCTGTTGGTGATTTCAATAACGACACCCGAATTGATATCGTCGTTGCTAATTCTGGTGACAACACTATAAATGTACTTCTCGGGTATGGAAATGGCTCTTTTGCACATCAAACGAATTATTCAACTGGCTCTAAACCAATTTCTGTAGCTGTTGGAGATTTTAATAACGACACCCAACTGGACATCGTCGTCGCGAATCGACTTGGCTACACTATAAGTGTCCTTCTTGGATATGGAAATGGCTCTTTTGCAGGTCAAACGATATATTCAACTGGCTCGTCGCCAGTGTCTGTAGCTGTAGGTGATTTTAACAATGACACCTATCTGGATATCGTCGTCGCTAATTATAATGACAATACTGTAAGTGTACTTATCGGATATGGAGATGGTTCTTTTGCAAATCAAATGACATATTCAACTGGCTCTGGTCCATTTGCTGTAGCTGTTGGTGACTTTGGCAATGACAAACGACTGGATATTGTCGTCACTAATTGGAATGACAACACTATGAGTGTCCTTCTTGGATATGGTAATGGTGTTTTTGCAAATCGAATGACTTATTCAACTGGCTATAGTCCTTCATCTGTAGCTGTTGGTGATTTTAATAATGACACCCGACTAGATGTCGTCGTCTCCAACGGTAATGGGCAAAGTGTCAGTGTATATCTGGGATATCCTAATGAAGGTTTTCTAAAACAGATGAGACTCATAACTGAGAATGGATCTCACCCTAAGTCATTCGCCATTGGGGATTTTAATAATGACGGTCAAATAGATATTGCAATTGTCAATTCAGGCACTAACAACATCGGTATTTTTCTGAGATATGATAATGGTTCTTTCGCAAATCAAATGACATATTCAACTGATTCTTCTCCATGGTCGGTAGCTGTTGGTGATTTCAACAACGATAGCCTACTTGATATTGTTGTCGTGAATCGTGGCAGTGACAATGTTGGTATATTTCTTGGATGGGGCAATGGTTCGTTTTCAAGCCAGAAAACGTTTACAACTGGTTTAAGCTCTCAACCAAACGCGGTTGCTGTTGAAGATTTCAACAACGACACCTTGCTAGACATTATTGTCGCTAACTATGGCACAAACAACATAGGTGTGTTGCTTGGTTATGGGAATGGCTCGTTCACAAGTGTCAAGCTTTTTTCGACCGGTTATGGATCTCTTCCGTTCTCAATTTCTGTTAATGATTTAGACAATGATGGAAAATTGGATTTCGTCATCGCCAACGAAGGTGCTGACAATTTAAACATTTTTTTACAGACCTGTTGATATCACCACTATTGGCTTAAGCTTTTTTTTCCCATTGATTTATTATTCCCAACTTCTACT